ACCGCCAGCTGCACCGCGACTACCTCCACAACACTCCTTGAACGAGAACCCTCTCCAGCACCGTTGCCACCCCAAGGACCGCCGGGACAAACCACGACAGAAACCCCACGACTAGCACCCTCCTCAACGCCTGCACCCCCAGAGTCCATGAACGGCTGCTGCTGCGGCGGCGTTGGCGGCTGCTGCGGCGGCGGCGGCGGTGGTGGTGACGGCTGCTATGGCGGCGGCGACTACGATTGCGCCACAGGGCCACCAGAGTGAGCCGACTCCTCAACTGGGACTACTGACGGGAGGAGAGTGATGTGAGACACACCAGACGCAGCAGGATGGGGAGGAACGGGACTAGGGGCGACGGGGGGAGTGGGGACCAGAAACAGGGGAGGGGAAACCCGGAGACCGCAGTGGGAAAAGCGGTGGTAAAAGGACACAGACTTGTCGAAAGTGGCGTCACGCGAGTGAAAGAAGCGGTGAGACGGCGGGTGGTAAAAGTGCCAGCCAGACGAGTCAAGAGGGAAACCGAGGAAGACATAGGGGACAGTTTGGGCAGTGAGCTTGTTCGCGCCAGAGGCACAAACGTGAGCGAGGCAGCCCCGGACGTGGAACGCAGACGCGTCACCAAAGAACCCCCTCCAAAGAAGGGTCGGCGAAACCTGCGGCCGCTGGGAGCGCGGCCAGAGGTTAAGCTGGTGAGCGGCGTAGCGAACGGCAAACGGCCACAGAAAATGAGGTGCATCGGCATGAATCATGGAGGTACGAGCCACCTGCATGACCATACCGATGCGTCGCTCAGTGACCTCATTCAACTGCGGGGAGTCTGGTAGGGTGTACGACTGGGTGATGCCCTCCCCACGACAGAATTGTCCAAGCCGACCAGAGGCGAACTCGCCACCACGGTCGGAATGGAGACACAGCACAGGGAGACCGCAGTGGAGGTGTGCAGCTACGACCCACGGGATAAGAACGTCGGGCACGTTGGCCTTGCGCTCCAAGGGAAACACCGTGGTGTAGCACATGTAGTCGTCAACGATCACTAGAAAGTAGCGCTCGTGACGCAGTCCAGAGACGGGGGCTGGGCCCCAGACGTCCAGGTGCAGGGTCTGGAGGGGTGCGGTGGTAGGACGAAGCGAGGAGGAGTGTGGAGCATGGCGCAGCCGGCCCTCGACGTAGGGCGTGCACGGCGGCGCAGGCGAAGGAGGGAGGGCAGGAAGCAACGCAGGGAGACCTAGGACGAGACCGTGCTGGGACATATGACGCAGACGTGGGAGTGCGGGGTGACCTAGGCAGTGGTGCGACAGAAGCGACGGGTGAGTGAGCGACCGCCACGAGCACGCAGCGGTGAGCTGGGTGGGTAGGACGGTCCACCAGGGGGGGAAAAAGTGTCCAGTGTAAAGAGGCCAGACACCGGGTTCCGGGGGAACGTCGCAAGGGGAGAACTTGAGGCGGCCTCGGTACAGACGGTGTACCGCTCGTGACCCGGAAACGTAGTGGTAACACAGAGATCCTGAAGACAGCCGACACCAACTAAGTTCCGGGAGAATGAGGGGATGTGCAGGCCTGTAAGGGAACCCGAGGGAACTGCTGGACAGGCAAGTGTATTGTAGCTGCGAGCAACTACAGGACCAAAGGAGGGGTCAGCAAGTGCGATAGCAGCAGGTGTGGCTAGCAGCGTAAGTGCAGCGTGGTCGCGAAAGAAGTAGGCAAACATACCGGAGTCAAGTGTGAAGGACAACAAAGCGGTAGCGGCGGATGAATGAGGAGCAAGGGTAGATCCTAGGCTAGACAAAGCAAGCGGTCCTACGCCTGACGCAGCAACGGTGTCTGTACTACACACATGTGCTACGCCTAAGCTAGAGAACACATGGTAATAAGATCCAGACACACTAGAAGCGTCAGCATACAGAGAATGCCGGGCATAACTAATCTGATCGATGTCTAAGTCAAACATAGGCACACTATGGCGCAGCAGACTGGGCCAGTCAGGGAGGTCCGGGGCCGGGCCGAAGCGGCGATGGAATAGGTCGTCAAGGCAGCGGAAGCACCGGCGGAAGCAGGACAGTGGGCCAGTCTGGAGCTGGTACTGGCAGCCCACAGCCCTGAAGCCGCCGGTAGACGTTGAGCTGCGAGGACCACCACCGCGGCCACCACCTCTAGGGGCTCGTGGCCACCCCGGCGGGAGGCGGGCCAACGCCTCCTGCTGCGGCTACTGCTGCTGCTGTGGCTGCGGCTGTAACTACTGCTACTGCGTCTGCTGCGATTGCTGCTCCTCCTGGACACCTACCCCAGCCCCCTCGTCAGAACCATTGTCTCCACCCCCATTACGTCCACCACCAGCACCACCAACACGCCCTCCCTTGGGGCCGCGTCGGCCTTGACGCTGTCGCTGCTGCTGCGGGAAGGTCGCCGCTGCGGTCTCAGCGGCAGGAGCAGTTGTAGCGATGGCGGCGGAAACGTCAGCGTACGTGCACTGGGAGGGAGCACAGCCCTAAAAGATAGGGATCGCCTCAACATCGCTCGACTGGGCGATAGTGCACTGGCGAGTCTCTATCTCATAAAGTGTAGTGACAAAGGCGGTCAGGGTGAGGTCACCAGGGTGCTGACTAAGGAAGTGGTCACGGGCAATGGCTAAGTGGTCAGGCAAGCGCATGGCAATAAGGTACAGGGTAGCACAGAACGGGGGGGGGGAAGGCAGTGAGCTGGGCGGTAGTGCTAGCAGCGCGGTAGCTAGTCTCTAGTGCACGGAGGTGAGTAGCGAGGTCAGCAATAGTGGGGAAGGCAGAGAGATCGGGGAATAGCATGGGGAGGATCAAGCGGCCAGCGGAGGCAGAGGCGGGTGTGGAGTAGCACGCAACTACGGCATCTAGAAAGTCCTTGGCGTTCGCGACGGCAGTGAAGTGCGGACACTCAGACAGGGGAAGCGCATGACTAATGGCGAGCTGTGCTACAGCATCGCGTGAATCCCAGACAGCGCGAGCGTGCGCAGCAGCAGCAAAGGCCTCACTCTCAGCAGTGGTGGGGTCAGCAGGGAGGGGATCAGGCGTGGGGGGCGGGGAAGCAAGCCATCAATATGCATAGCTAGGGAGTGCCCATCCTGGCACTGACCTTTCAGGTGCCGGCGAAGATCAACAAGCCAGGCCGCAGCGTCGATCGCGTGCCCCTTCGCGTCCAGGGGAAGTATGGCGTCCGCCATCGTGTAGCCTCAATGGCACAGTATACAGTGGCACAGCGGCACAGGGACACGGCGGGACAGCATCACAGGTACTCAGCGGCACAACGGCGTGGCAGCAGGACTCTCCGGCGAGGAGACCGGGCGGGAGGCCGAGGAGGGCCCGAGGCGCGCAAGGCCCGAGGCGTGCAGAGCCGGCAGGGCACAAAGGGCCGGCGGAGTGCTGAGGGCCCAGTGGCGCGGGAGGGCCAGTGGGCGCTCGAGGAGCCGAGGCGCACAAGGGGCCGGCGAGGCGCACGAAAGGCCGGGCAGGTGCAGGAGGTGCTGACGCGTAGAGAGGGGCCGACTAGGTACGAGGGGCCGGTGGTGCACGAGAGGGGCCGGCTAGCGCGAGGGGCCGGCACGGCGCAAAGGGCCGTCGTGGCCCGCGCGGGGTCGGCTAGGCGAGGGGTCGGCTAGGCGCAGGGTTGGCTAGGCGCGGGGCCGGCTAGGCGCGGGGCCGGCTAGGCGGGGGGCCGGCTGGGCGAGGGGTCGGCTAGGCGCGGGGTCGGCTATGTGAGAGGGGCCGGCTATGCGAGCGGGGCCTGCTAGGTGCGAGGGGCCAGCTAGGCGCGGGGCCGGCTAGGCGCGGGGGGGAGGGGGGGGAGGGGGGGGGGCGGCTAGGCGTGGGGGCCGGTTAGGCGGGGGGGGCGGCTGGGCGCGGGGGCTAGTTGGGCGAGGGGCCGGCTAGGTGCGGGGTTGGCTACGGGAGAGGGGCCGGCTAGGCGAGCGGGGCCGGCTAGGCGCGAGGGGCTGGCTAGGCTAGAGGGTCGGCTAGGCACGAGGGGCTGGCTAGGCACGCGAGGCCGGCACGGCGCGAGGGGCCGGCAGAGCGCGCTACAGGCCAGCTGGGCGCGAGGGGCCGGCTAGCACGCTTGGGGCAGGTGCGCTAGGGGCCGGCTAGTGCGCTAGGGGTCGGCGGGGCGTGGTAGGCTAGGGGAGGGGCAGAAGCGGGTGGGCAGACCTAACCTACTATGATACCATGTTAGAATACGAGAATGACTAGAAGCAAGGGTGAACAAGGGAAATATAGGGTTGGAGTTGTACCCTCTAAGAACATACACCTATCTAGCCTATAACTTCTACATACTAAGATATGTACAAGTTGACAGCTACCACGTCACCGAGCGAACCTGAACATCCGACCGCTCGCCGAGCCTACTGTCTAACCTGCGAAGGTTCTGAGCCATGGGATCAAGGATCCTCAAGGGGCTCGCCTGATCGAGTTTTTGATATCTTGGAAGGACCGGACGGCCCTAGAAAACAGTTGGGTGCCCCTGGCACAGATCGAGAATTACCCGGTGTTACGAGTCTACCTCCAGTCACGAAATGTGCGCGACGTCGGCGGTCTTAACTAACACCATATCTTGGAGGGGGGATGGTGTAAGGAAATCGTATTTCCTTATCAAGGGGTTTAGTCAGTAAGGCGTACACTGCTATAACAGGGTTGACATGCAGTTATGCCACGAAATTCAAATCGCGGTCCTAAATGTGGTCTCCTGACGAGCCGCATGCATTATTGCCCGCCTTGCCGTTGCATGCCTAGATCTGGGCGCTTCGCGCCAATTTACAAACCACACGTCGCAGCTCTGCCGAGCCATGACCGTGTGCTCCTAGGCTAGCTATATCCATGCTCCCTGCTGTTTTGATGTTGCCTCAGTTGTATTGTTTCCTCTTTAATCAATCCTTCTAGAAACTCTCTTTGCGCTCCATTACAACATTATAGCCTTACCGAAGCAAGGCCTGCCCGAGATTGCTGACAGTATTTTCAGGCCATGTTACGTTCATAGTCTCTGGCCACTTACCTGTGCTCATATCTCCGTGGTTCACGCGCAGCTCACGATAGCTACGCTTTGCTCCGTGGTCGATCCACGACCAGCAGTCGGCAACCGGTCGGCAACAATTCACTCTTTTAACTCGATAACCGGCAGCGGCTAGTGCGCAAACACGCACGATCTGCTCGTGTGTTGCGTGGAACCCACTCTACCTCCAGAGACGTCTTTTCCGCGGTTAGTCCTGATCGAACTAGTTTAATGTAGCCATGTCGACTCGCATGGTGCGTCGGCTACTGGAGCAGCAGCAGCGGGAATCGCAGAGCTCAAAGCCTTCCCGTGCTGATGAGGGGGATAGAGCGGAGGAGGAGAAGGGCGAGGAGGAATTGGAAGAGGAGGAGGAGGAGGAGGATGAGGATGGGTCGGATTCGAGGCTGATAGCGGCTGCGCGGAATGCGTTCGACCTTCTAGACATGGATGTACGTGTGCTGGGCTATGATAGTGTGTGATCAGGACATGGCTTTAAAAATTTTAGGAGCAAGTCAAGGCATGGCGTGGCATGGCAGAACAGCCCATAGCAATTTGTAGCATGGCATGGCGAGGAGGAATAGTTAGAAGAGGAGGAGGAAGAGGACGATGATGGGTCTGGTTTGACCGTCGACACACGGATATACGCTTGGTGTGCGTGCAATGACAGCTTGCGATACTGAGCTCGAGAAGCATGGCATGGCATGGAATCGCGTGGTATGGTATGGCATGACATGGCATGGAATCGCGTGGTATGGTACGGCATGACATGGCATGGCATGGAATCGCGTGGTATGGTATGACATGGCATGGCATGAAATGGCCTGGCATGTATGGAATGACATGGAGTCAGACACTATCCGTTCTTTTCACTCTAAGCTTTTCCTGCATCGCAGCAAAGCCGGGGAGCTTCTAGGAGGATAAGCGCTGCTTAGGGCGGTTTCCGACCTCTGTCAATCCGTCTCTTCAGGGTTTCGGGTTCGGGTTTAGGATTTCATCCCTCACACCGGATCATTGTTGTTGGCAGGGCGAAGGGGGGGGCGATGAAGACGAGGAGGATGACGAAGAGAGCAAGGCAGCACAGCAAGAGAGCAGGGAGCAGAAGGGGCGGGGGAAGGGACGAGGTGAGGCGGGTAGAGATTCGGGTAGTAAAGAGGCTGAAGAGAACGGGGGGGATGAGGAAGAGGACGAGGAGGAGCAGGAGGAGGAGGAACGCAGGAGAACGGATAGGCAGCGGAGGAGCGGCAGGAAAAAGAAGAAGGGCAAGGGGAAGAAGAAGGGTGGAGGGGGAGGGGCGGGAGAGGAAGCCGGAGGAGGAGGGAAAGCGGCAAAGCTAGATACTGAAATAGAGAGCGCTTTGGCTAGAATCGAGGGCCAAGAAGGGGAAATGGCAGCAGCAGCAGCAGCAGAACGTAATGGAGCAACAGCAACAGCGACAGCCGCAGCAGCAGGTGGACCTGTCACCACTGCAGCACGGCCACTACTAGCCGTTGACACACGGTTTCTGCGAGCAGACGACGAGCTGAAACGAATTTTTGGGGCCAAGGTTATTCGCCAGGTGGAGCGACAGGCAGGGGGGGGCGGGGGGGCAGGAGGAGGGGGAGCGATGGGTGTGAGGGGACAGGGCGGGGTGAGGGGGAGGCGCGGAGGGATGGGGGGGGTGGGAGGAGGGGGAGGAGGAGGGGGGAGTGTGGGGAGGAGAGCGCTGCTGGTGCAGGAGAGGGAGCACTGGCCGCCTGGTGTAGTGGCGGAAAAGGGTCTGACGATGGAGTATGCGGGGGAGACGAAGGGGAAGGCCCATGGGGCTGCTGGTTCTAGTGGTGTTGGTGGTGGTGGTGGTGGTGCTGCTGCTGCTGCTGCTGGTGGCGCTTCACGGGTGTTTCGCTACGTGCAATCGGCCACCTACCGGGCAGCGCAACACCTGTTTGAGCAGACGGTTGCTTCCCATGATCCCAACCAGCTGGCTCTATTTGTGGCGCACCACCCGTACCACGTGGAGGGGCTGCTGGCCCTGTCAGAAGTGTACAAGCAGGTGAGTATGTGCCCCTATCCCTAATGCCTCTCTGTCGCAGGCCCCCATCCCTACTGCCTCTGTGCCGCAGGCCCCCATCCCTACTGCCTCTGTGCCTCATGGCCCCATCCCTACTGCCTCTGTGCCTCATGGCCCCATCCCTACTGCCTCTGTGCCTCATGGCCCCATCCCTACTGCCTCTGTGCCTCATGGCCCCATCCCTACTGCCTCTGTGCCCTGTGCACCCCTTTCGCTTATCTCTAGTGCTCCTATGCCAGGTGGGCGAGGTGCAGACGTCAGCAGACCTTTTGGAGAGAGCTCTCTTTCTGCTGGAAGCAACCTGCGCCTCATGCCCCTATCCCTTATGCCCCTATCCCTTATGCCCCTATCCCTTATGCCCCTGTTTTCTTATCCTCAATGCCCCCCTGCCAGGTGGGCGAGGTGCAGACGTCAGCAGACCTTCTGGAGAGAGCCCTCTTCCTGCTCGAAGCAGCCTGGCACCCGTGGTTCAACCCCTCACTGGGTACATGCTGGTATGTGTTTGTGTGGTGCGGGATCCGTGCATGTGCATATGCGTCTGACTCACCCTTACGGACTCTCTTTCTGCTGGAAGCAGCCTGGCATCCGTGGTTCAACGGTCAACCCCTCACTGGGTACATGCCGGTATGTGTTTGTGTGGCGTGCATGTGCATATGCGTCTGACTCACCCTTACGGACTCTCTTTCTGCTCGAAGCAGCCTGGCATCCGTGGTTCAACCCCTCACTGGGTACATGCCGGTATGTGTTTGTGTGGTACGGGATGCGTGCATGTGCATATGCGTCTGACTCACCCTTACGGACTCTCTTTCTGCTGGAAGCAGCCTGGCACCCGTGGTTCAACCCCTCACTGGGTACATGCCGGCACATGGCGGTACATGTATGTGTGTGTGGGGGTGTGAGCGGTGCGGTGCGGTATTGTGTGTGCTCATGGTTTGGTCGCACCCTTATTGGCTCTCTTCCTGCTCGAAGCAGCCTGGCATCCGTGGTTCAACCCCTCACTTGGTACATGCCGGTATGTGGGTGTGTGGTGCTGAATGTGTGGTGCTGAATGAGTGGTTTCTCACGTGCCGATGTGAATATGGTTCGGCCGCACCCTTGTTTGCTCTTTCCTGTTCGAAGCAGCTCTTTCTTGAGTGACTTGTTGTTCACCCCCTCCCCAGACACATACCGGTGCATACGCGTAGTAGAGCACTTCAATCAATACATATGTGTGTATATGTATACATGTGTGTGTGTGTATATATACATATGTTTATATCTATGTATCTATATTCCAGGTGCATGCAGCATGCGGTGAGTGCACACATGCTGGGTTGGAATCATTATTGAGAATTCTAAGAAAAGGCTCCAGCAGAGCGCTCTTTAATGTATATATACTCTCTTATGTATAAATACTCTTCTCCAGGCGCATGCATGCAGCATGTTGTGTGAGTCTGCACCGCACACGCTGTTGCAACCAACTCAAGAAGCACAGCAAATCTCCGTTTGTTTCCTCTTATTTCATTCTCTTCCTTCCCTTCCCGGCTTGGTTAGTTTCCGCCCACCAGCCCAACAGGCTCTGCCTGCCCTCTTCGGTGCTCTCTTCTGCCAGATGCAGCATGTGGGCCGCAGGGGCTGCCACTGTGAATCCATAGAACTGCGGTTTTTCCATTATCCCTTTCCTCCTACCAGCTTGGATTTCTCCCACGAGCTGCCATATATCAGAGAGCAGATGACCGTGCATTTCACCGTTTTCCTTCCCCTTGTTCCATTTCCCCCTACCAGCTTGGACTTCTCCAATGAGCCCAATAGAGCCCTGTTCGACACTCTCTTCCGCCAGATGCAGCATGTGGGCCGAAGGGGCTGCCACCGTGCCCTCATAAGGCACAGCATCATTCCATTACCCGTTTTCCCTCCCCCTTTCGTTCCGTTTCCCCCTACCAGCTTGGACTTTTCCCATGAGCCCAACAGGGCGCTCTTTGATGCTCTCTTCCGCCAGATGCAGCATGTGGGCCGCAGGGGCTGCCACCGTGCCGCCTTTGAGCTCTGTAGGCTGCTGCTGTCATTGGATCCAGACACCGACCCCCTTGGTGCTCTACAGGTGAGTTCGCCCGAAGACCTTGTTATCTGCGGGCACGTGCCCTTGGCCTGCAGAATGTGGACCGCAGGGGCTGCCTCTGTGGGGCCTTTGAGCTCTGCAGGCTGCTGCTCTCACTAGACCCCGATACCGACCCCCTTGGCGCTCTACAGGTCTGTATGGAGGCTAGCAGGCCATCTTCGTATGGTTGGCTGCTGCCCTTGGCCTGCAGCATGTCGATAGCAGAGTCTGCCACTGTGCGGCCTTTGAGCTCTGCAGGCTGCTGCTGTCGTTAGACCCTGATACCGACCCCCATGGCGCACTACAGGTCTGTCTCTATACAATCCTATGGTTTGCTGGTGCCCTTGGCCTGTAGCATGTCGACAGAAGAGGCGGCGACCGTGCGGCCTTTGAGCTCTGTGGGCTCCCGCTGTCGTTAGAGTCTAGACCAGACACCGACCCCCTTGGTGCTGTTCATGTGGGTGCCTGCCCATGTGCTCTACAGGTGCCTGCCCATGTGCTCTACAGGTGCCTGCCCATGTGCTCTACAGGTGCCTGCCCATGTGCTCTACAGGTGCCTGCCCATAGTCTTGGACTGCCAATCCCGCCTAGACACCTCACAGCCTTTCAGCTCTGCATGCAGGCTGCTGCTGTCATTAGACCCAGACACGGGCGCCCTTGGTGCTCTACAGGTGCCTGCCCATAGACTTGGACTGCCAGTCTCGCCTAGACACCTCACAGCCTTTGAGTTCTGCATGTAGGCTGCTGTTCTACCGTGATCTTAATCACGTCAGTGCATAGACGTCTCCCCCCTCGGGGCACGCCCCCTCAGGGAACCGATTTCTGACGTTGCGCTGACTGGAAACCATGTCCCAAGAGCTGCTCTCCCCTGATCTTCATCACGTCGGTGCATGGACGTCTACCCCCTCAGGGCACGCCAGCTCACCATGGCTCCACGCCCTTTATTCCTTCATGCTCTCTCATTTCATCTCCTTTTCCTCATTTCATCTCCTTTTCCTCATGTCATCTCCTTTTCCTCATTTCATCTCCTTTTCCTCATTTCATCTCCTTTTCCTCGTTTCATCTCCTTTTCCTCGTTTCATCTCCTTTTCCTCGTTCATCTCCTTTTCCTCGTTCATCTCCTTTTCCTCATTTCATCTCCTTTTCCTCATTTCATCTCCTTTTCCTCATGTCATCTCCTTTTCCTCGTTTCATCTCCTTTTCCTCATTTCATCTCCTTTTCCTCATTTCTCCCGCTCCCCCCCCCCCCTCCTCTCCCCTCCCCCTCTCTCTCCTTCTCTACCCCTCAGTGCATAGCCTTCTGTGCCCTCAGGTGCACCAGTTCACCTGGCAGCACAACTCCGCTCCTCTTCCTCCATCCATGCTCCTTGCCCCTCCTCTCGCCCCCCATTCCCCCCCTCCTCCCCCCCCCACCCCCCCCTTTTTTCCCCCACGTCAGTGCATAGATTTCTACGCCCTCAGAGCTCGCCAGTTCACCTGGCTGCACGATTTCGTGGACCAATGGGGGGGCGACACGTCACTGGCTGTGCTGCCAAACTTTTGCTACGCGCTTGCCCTGGCGAGACTATGGGAGGGCGAGGGGGAGGGGGAGGGGGAGGCTGGTGGGGAGGAGAGAGGGAGGGGAGGGGGGAGTGGTGAGGGGAAGGGGAGGAGAGAGACGGGTGGGGAAGCAGCAGCCAATGACATGGTGCCAGGTGCCAGCCGCACGACTGCTGCGGTTCCTGATGCGGCATCTCTACTCCGTGATGCGCTCTTCCTCCACCCGTAAGCACCGAGCTGCTGATTTTGGGTCGACTCAAAAGGCCTTTTGAGTTGACCCAAAAGTCTACTCCGTGATGCTCTTTACCTCCACCCGTAAGCACCGAGCCGCTGATTTGATTTTCACAGGGCGGGGTTCAATCTCGATGTATCCGATCGGATCTGAAAGAGCGCTCTCTTTGAAACATGCTCAGATCGGATCCGAAGCACAAATCGATTCGATCTGAACATGGATCGAATTTATGCTTCGGATTTCATCTTTTGCATATTCACTCGAACACCCTTCGTCTATTTCATCCCACCCCCCCACACCCCCCCCCCCCCCCCCCACCCCACTGTCAATTTCACATCATTGCGCATCCTGCCCTAGTCCTGGCACCTGCTCTTGACTTGAAGAAACAACCCTTCCCTCCCCTCCCCCTCTCACCGGGCATGTCCTGTAAAGGTCAGTGGTGGTAAGGACTCTCATTACGACCGACTCCTCCTGGAACCACATTTCGATGTCTCCTACTTGCCCCCTCCGCCCTTACCCCCCCCACCCTTGCCCGCTCCACCCTTGACCCTTCCGCCCTTCCCACCTCCACCCTTACCCCTTTGTTTTCAAACAGACCCGTCCTTAAAGTCCTGGTGGAAGTAGGCTCCAATAAAGACCCGCTCCTCCTGGTGGACGCACATTCTCAAGCTTTTGAGAGATTTTTTACTATTTCTAAAACTATCTCAGCAATCTCTCAGCAATCACGTCCCCTCTTTTTTTCTTCTTTTTTTTCACCATCCCCTTTTTACCGGCTCCTCCTGGACTCACGTTCTCAAGCTTCACTTCTCGCGCCCTCCTTCCTTTACCCTCTTTCCTTCCCCTCCACTCTCCCTCCTCACAGGTTCGTTTTGAAGATGTCTTTTGAGTCGACTCAAAAGTCTTCTCGCGTCCTCCTTGACCCTCTTCCCTTCCCTTCCAATAAAGACCGTCTCCTCCTGGACCCACATTCTCAAGCATCCACTGTTTTCCAAGACGACACCTGGCAGCACATCGTTGGAGCATCTGGTGCGGCTGTGTGTAGAGCGCAGCGCGGTGCTGTGGCGGGGGGGCGCTGCATAGAGGCTGTTGAAGCGAGGCGCCTTTTCACAGCCGTTTCGGAAGCCAAGTCCATCTGTGTGACACGGCTCAAGCCCCCTTCCTTTCCCCCTTCCTTCCCCCCTTCCTTCCCCCCTCCCTTCCCCCCTCCCTTCCCCCCTCCCTTCCCCACTACCTCCCCCTCTCCCTTCCCCCCTCCCTTTCCCCCTCCCTTTCCCCCTCCCTTCCCCCCTTCCTTCACCCCTTCCTTCCCCCTTCCCTTCCCTCCGTCCTTCCCCCTTCCTTCCCCCCTCCCTTCCCCCTTCCTTCCTGCCTTCCTTCCCCCCTTCCTTCCCCCCTTCCTTCCTCCCTTCCTTCCCCCCTTCCTTCCCCCTTCCTTCCCCCCTTCCTTCCCCCCTTCCTTCCCCCTTCCTTCCTCCCTTCCTTCCTGCCTTCCTTCCCCCCTTCCTTCCCCCCTCCCTTCATCCTTTCCTTCCCTCCTTCCTTCCCGCCTTCCTTCCCCCCTTCCTTCCCCCTTTCCTTCCCCCCTTCCTTCCCTCTTCCTTCCCCCCTTCCTTCCCCCTTCCTTCCCCCTTCCTTCCCCCCTTCCTTCCCCCCTTCCTTCCCCCTTCCTTCCCCCTTCCTTTCCCCCTTCCTTCCCCCCTTCCTTCCCGCCTTCCTTCCCCCCTTCCTTGCCCCCTTCCTTCCCCCTTTCCTTCCCCCCTCCCTCTCCCCGCTTTCTCGCCCGTAATCAGATATGTTCTCAAGGGCTTGGTGGAAAAGGCTCCCATTAAAACTGATGCTTCCTGGACCCACATCCTCAAGCACCCGCTCTTCGCCAAGACGACACCTGGCAGCGCATCATTGGAGCATCTGGTGCGGCTGTATGTGGAGCGCAGCGCAGTGCTGTGGCGGGGTGATGCCGTGCAGGGGCTGCTGAAGAGAGTTGCGGGGGAGGTGGTGGGGACGGTGGAGCGGGAGAGGAGGGAGGGGGGAGGGGACGGGGAAATGGAGAGCTGGAAGTGTGTTCGGGAGGTGTCGTTTCCGTCGGCAGTCAACGAGTGAGCGCACGCTTGGTTCTGCTTTCCTTGTCCCTGTTTGCTTGCTGTGTGTTTCTTCTCCTTCCTCCCCCCTCTGTTAATGCTTGTTCAAAGAGGTTTCGGTGCGACTCGTTGTTCCTTCACCTCCAATTCATTCACACTAGACAAACCTTGTTTTCCTCTTCTTTCCTCCCCCCCCCTCCCCCTCCCAGGCACCTCCACATGTTGTCCTGGCTAAAAGCCATTTCATCCACCCTTTTCACATCTCTTCTTCTTTACCCACTCTCCCCCTCCTCCCCCCCCTCTCTCTCCCTCCCCCAACCCCCTTCTCTCCCTCCCCCCAATCCCCCTATTCCCTCCTCCCCCCCCTTCTTTGCCCTTCCCCCCCCCTCTCTCACTCCCCCCCCCGTCTTGCTCTGCCAGATACCGCCACTTGCTGCTATCCGACTTCTCAGACGCCGCCCCGACTCTGCCGCCCGAGGAGCTGATGGCCATGCAACAAGACGAAGGCGGCCGGCAGCGCCGCCCAGGAGCCAACGGGCCCGGCTTCCTGATTGGTGCAGGTGCCGCTGCCGCTGGTGGTGGTGGCGGCGGCGGTGGCGGTGGCGGTGGCGGTGGGGGGGCAGGGGGAGGGGCAGGAGGGGGAGGGGGCGAAGGAGGAGGGGCAGGGCAAGGGCAAGGGGGCCAGCAGGTGGACCTGGCAGGGCGAAATCCGCTGATGGTGTTTCTAGAGGCACTGCTGCCGTGGAATGATTTTGGGGGGTTGGGTGGTGGCGCTGGGGGGATGAATGCGGAGGAGCAACAAGCTGCTCTGGCGGCTGCGCTGGCTGCTGCTGATGGTGGTGATGGTGATGATAGTGGTGGGGAGAGCGATGAGGACGTTGAAGAGATTGAGATGGAGAGAAGGCAGTGAAATAGGCACCTGTGGGGTGGGGGAATAGTTGCACCACCACTGCCTGTCGCCTGTGTTGGTGTGTATTTCAGTGAACCAGGCGGCGCCTCTTGTGATCATTTTCTTAGACAATGACAGAGAAAAAACCTTTGTTCAGTGAGTTCTTCTACAAGAATATTTTAGCTTCAAATTGGTGTGTTTTTAGGTGCACCAGATTCATAGGATTCTACACCATGTTTTGGCACTTTGGACAACTATGCAAGTGTATTTCGCAATTGTATTTCGCAATAACGGAAAACGGCGAAGCTACTATACAATTAAAGGATCAGAGTTCCCCTTCCCTATACGGGTCATATGCGAGAGGTGCAACGACAATAAGCGCAAGTATTCGCGAATCGAGGGTAACCACGGGCCAATTATTCGCTTAGTGAATTCCCTGAGACAAGGAGTGAATTCCCTCCTGAACAGTAATATTTTCACTGCACGTCGAAGCGGAATTCACTCCCCACTTTCGGCACAGGTCACTTGCCTTGAGATACTTCGAAACCTTCTTTCCAGTGCGCCTCGAAGCGGGATTAGCCCCTCTCGACGAAAGTCACACAAAGGAGCGAAGTCACTAAATAAACTGCTCCAGAAGCTAAGCCTGCCCAAGAAGCTAAGCCTGCCCAAGAAGCTAAGTCTGCCCGATAAGCTAAGCCTGCCCGAGAAGCTAAGCTTGCTCGAGGCGGGGATTAAAAAACCCTTCTATTTCGGTGCGCCTCGAAGCGAAGCCCACTCGCGTATTCTGTCGACGCAAGGCGCTCCTACTATGGCGGAGCGCCTGTGCCACATGTCAGCCGGCGACAGCTTCCAGCTGGCGTGCCGCGATTCGCTGCTGCCGTTCCTGCAGCAGGAGGCGCGTGCGTCAGGGGGTGGGGGAGGGGGGGGAATGGGGGGAGGGGGAATGGGAGGAGGGGGAATGGGAGGAGGGGGAATGGGAAGGGGGGGAATGGGGGGAGGGGCAGGAGGAGCAGGGGGAGGGGACGGGGCGGAAATGGGAGAGCTGAAGCTCTTGGAAGTGGACGAGTCGATGCTGCAGGAGCTGCTGAGCGACGGGTAAGTGGAGTACTGGGGGGGTGGGTGGGTGGGTGGGGGGGGAGGGACGATGTGCCGAATGATGTGCTGCGGACACTTGGGGGCTGGGAGGTTGTGGCTGCTGCTGTGGCGAGGCAATGAGGTTGGAGGTCGGAAGGAAGGGGGGGGTTGGGGGTTGAAGCTTCTGGAAGTGGACGAATCGGTGCTGGAGGAATTGCTGAGCGATGGGTGAGGGGTGGGGAGAGGTCAATGTGATGGGTGGGATGGGGAGAGGTCAATGTGATGGGTGAGGGGTGGGGAGAGGTCAATGTGATGGGTGAGGGGTGGGGAGAGGTCAATGTGATGGGTAAGCTGATAAGGTCGGTTCATCTTATCGGTTGCATGTTCACCCTCTGACCTGGCTCACCACCAACCTCCTGCTCTGCTCCTCGTTCCTCATTGCATGTGTGGTGTACCGCAGGCTGGTTATAAAGGGTACGGCGGAGGAAGGGGACGAGGCGGTTCTCTGCACTCGCAGCAGCACCTTTGCGCTCAAGCAAGTCACCACCACCAACCTCCTGCTCCTCGTCCCTCCACATGAGAATTCACTTGAAAAACCACCTGACAAAACTCCTGAAAAAACACCTGAAGTCACAATGAGAACCTCCAGTGCAGATACGCCCGCCCAAGAAAAAGCCTCCCCAGATGTGAGAATACCGAGGGTGACTGCAGCAGCAGTTGCTTCTAGCCACTTGGAGGTCGTTCCCGTGGCGCCTAGGCTGGCTCGGCTGACCCACCTGCTGGCAGGATGTGCTTATAGCGAGAGGGACGAGGAGGAGGAGTTGAGAGGGGGAGGGGGGGAGGGAGAGGGGGGAGAGGGGGGAGAGGGAGGAGGGGAGTGTGGAGAAGGGAGAAAGGGGGGCAGTGGAATAGGAGGAGGGGAAGGAGGGGGAGGAGGGGAGGGAGGGGGAGGAATGTCCAGCGGAGCAAGGGGAGGTGGAGGAGGGGGTGGTGGGGGGAAGAAGGAGAGACGGAAAGGATACACGTGGCAGGAGCTGGTTGGTCAAGTGCAGGCGAGCGAGGAGGAGATTCGAGCTGGGCTGGAAGCTGCTGGTGCCGTGAAGGTGGGTGGAGAGCAGTGAAGGTGGGTGGAGAGTGGTGGAGGTGGGTGGAGAGTGGTGGAGGTGGGTGGAGAGCAGTGAAGGTGGGTGGAGAGTGGTGGAGGTGGGTGGAGAGTGGTGGAGGTGGGTGGAGAGTGGTGAAGCAAATGAGGGTGCAATGTGGGACGGGAAGGTGTGTGGAGAGGAGTAGTATTCTGTCATCTATGCGGAAATTGTGTGCCTTTGAGTGTAAGCGTACAGTGTGTGCAGGCAGGATATCGGCTGAAAAAAACTGACACTTTGGGAATATATGTCGTTATTCCAGTCTTTAGTCTTCAGCAGATTCTAACCTCTCGTCCCTCGAGAACGCCTGTCTTGCTCTCGTCCCTCGGGAATACCTGTCTTGCTCTCGTCCTTCCTCTCAAAACTCTCTCCTCACGAGAACGCAGGGTTCTTCCTGCCTCGCTCTGCCTTCTCATATCCCTTCGCCCACCCCGTCTCCTCATGCTATCAACCAATAGATCGGCGACACGTGGCGCGGCGTCGACCCTGCATACCTCTCCTCCCTCCTCCATCTCCTGCTGCTGACGTCAGCAGCCAATGATTGGCCGCCACGTGCCATCCCTGAAGCTGCTGCGGTGATTGCTATGTGTGGGGAGGGGGGAGAGGGGGAAGGGGGAAGAGCAGAAGGGGGAGATGGAGGGGGGGAAGGGAGAAAAGGGGATGGGGGGAGAGGGAGGGAGGGAGATGGGGGAGAGGGAGAAGGAGGAGGGGGAGAAGGGGGAGAAGTGGGAAGGGAGGGTCCCCGGGCGGAGCTGGTGAGGCATTGCCTGAAGGTGTTTGGGAAGAGGCGGAGGCAAGGGAAGCGAGAGGAGTGGGAGGAGGAGAGGAGGAGAGGGGAGACGATTGGGGGAGAAGACGGAAAGGGAGAGGGAGTGGAGGATGGGGGAGGAGAGGGTGGTGGAGGGGAGGGGAGTGAGTGTGTGTGGTGGGAGTTGGATGAGCGCAAGGTGTGTCGGCACTACGCCTGGCAGCTGTTAGAATCAGGTACTTGTCCTTTCCTCATTGCCCTCCCATTTTTTACTCATTTTTGCACACTTATTTCACTCAAGGTGCCTCAAACCTCAGAGTTGGATGAGTGCAAGGTGTGTTGGCACTACGCACGGAAGCTTCTAGAATCAGGTACCAGGCGGCATCCTTCCCCTCCCCTCAGCCGTTTTCGTTATTACTTTCATTTCTCAATTCCCTGGTTCGAGGCGCCTCACAACTGGGAGTTGGATGAATGAGCGCAATTTGTGTCGGCACTGCGGCAGACAGCTGGTAGAAATTAGAACCAGGTATGTGTATGCCCCTCGAACTCAGTCTCCTTCTCAGTTCCCTGGTTCGAGGCATCTCACAACTGGAAGTAGGATCGATGAGCGCAAGGTGTGTACCGACAACTGGAGGTTGGCACTACGCCCGAAGGCTTCTGGAATGAGGTACCAGTCCTCTCCCCTCACTGCCCTGCCTTTATTTCGTTTCTGGCTTATTTTGCTCAAGGAGCCTCACAAGTGGGGAGTTGGATGAGTGCAAGGTGTGTACCAGTCTCTCTCCTCAAGTGCACCTTTTGCCAGCACTATGGTATGGAGATGCTTCAGATGTTGCTAGGAAACTACGCCAGGCACCTGCTGGAATCAGTCAGGTCTCTCCATTCTCTCTCGTCCTCGCTTTCTTTTCTCACTTCCTGGTTTGAGGCGAATTTTGAGTCGACTCAAAAGTCACCTCCTGGTTTGGTTTAACGCCCTTGCGACTAGGAGTTGGATGAGCGCAACGCAAGGTCTGTCGGTGCCACGTCCCAAGGCTCCTGAATTCAAGTATCTCCAGTGTCTCTCCTCACTGCCCTCCCCCCTGTACTGTTTCCTCTCTTCACCAGACACTGCCCTCCCCTCTTTACGCTTTCCTCCCTGCCAGCTCTCTCGTTCTCACCTCGTCTGCACAACCCCCCCTGGAATCCACTCTCTCAGGCACGCTCTGGCGCCTCTCAACGTCCATGGAAGCATGGGCGAAGCAGGTGCTGCTCGCCATGGCCCAATGCCCTCATCCACTCCACTCTCCCTCTGCACTAACCCCCCTGGAAATCCTCTCTCACGCACACTCTGGCACCTCTCTGCGTTCATGGAAGCATGGGCGAACCAGGCCCACCATGCCCCAACCTCCTTGTCGTTCCTCGCCCTCTCTCCCCCTTTGAATATCCCTCTCTCTCACGCACACTCTGGCGCCTCTCTACGTTCATGGATGGACGCATGGGCAAAGAAGGTGCCCCCCCCCCACGCCAGGCCCAATTGATTCATCTCCCCTCCTTCTCTGCCCGCTCTTGTTTTCTTTCCATACTCCCCTTTAGGCACCTGCTGGCGCCTCTGAACGTTCATGGAAGCATGGGCGAAGCAGGTGCTGCTCGCCCCTTCTCCCCCACCCCCTCCCCCCCCCTGGAATCCACTCTGTCAGGCCCGTGATGGCGCCTCTCCACCTTCATGGACGCATGGGTGAAGAAGGTGCCGCCTTCTCTTTCCTCACCTGCTCCACTCCCCGCTCCACTCTCCCCTCCACTCCCTCCCCACATTCCTTGGCTCTTCACTCTCTTCAGGCCCACGATGGCGCCTCTCCACCTTCATGGAAGCATGGGCGAAGAAGGTGCCGCCAGCCATGGCCCAATCCCTGGACGCCACGTGGCTGAGAGGGCTGGCGATTCAGCAGCAGGTAGGGGGGCCAGCAGCCGCAGCCGCTGCCGCTTCGGCAGCAGCAGCAGGAGCAGCAGGAGCAGCAGGAGCAGCAGGAGCAGGCGCAGGGCAACAGTTGGACGGGCCTGAGTACACGTGGCTGCACTTCCTGCCGTGTGACCAGCTGCCGTCCACAGCGGAGCATCGCTTCCAGGCGCTGTTTAGTGTGCAGCCCATGTGGGCGCTGCAAGAGCTGGAGCCATATCTCATGTGCGTACTGTATGCGGTGTGGGTATGTGCTGGAGTCCAGGTCAGGGCCCTATGTGGTTGACGTGGCTTCCTGCCGTGTGACCAGCTGCCATGTACAGCGGAGCATTGCATTCTGGCGCTGTTCAGCGTGCAGCCCATCTGCCCCCTGGGGGAGCTGGAGCCTTACTTGCTGTGAGTGGGGATAAGGGAATCTAGGGCAGATTAGGGCTCTATGTGCCAGAGCATCGTTTCCTGCTGTGTGACCACCTTCCGTCCCCAGCGGAGCATCGCTTCCAGGCGCTGTTCAGCGTGCAGCCCATGTGGGCGCTGGGGGAGCTGGAGCCATACCTCATGTACGTAGCGTCTGTACGGGTGAGGTGTAGTGTAGTGTGGGTTTCTAGTGCAGGTCAGGGCCCTACGTGGGGGAGCACCGGTTCCAGGCGCTGTTCAGCGTGCAGCCCATGTGGGCGCTGGGGGAGCTGGAGCCATACCTCATGTACGTAGCGTCTGTACGGGTGAGGTGTAGTGTAGTGTGGGTTTCTAGTGCAGGTCAGGGCCCTACGTAGGGGAGCACCGGTTCCAGGCGCTGTTCAGCGTGCAGCCCATGTGGGCGCTGGGGGAGCTGGATGTCAGAAGCACAGTTGCTAACCACTGTGCTAAAAGGGCTTGTTAAGTAGCGGGATAGCGCGCCCATAATCCCCAGGCATAGAGGTAGCCCTTCCCCGAGGATCTCTAGGGCGACCCCAGTGGGTCTCTCGACACTGGAGCCTTATCTACTGTACGCACAGTGGGCGTTATGTATGCTTGTCGGGGTACCAAATGCCCCTCAGCGTCGCCTTCCTGCGCTGCTCAACATGCAGCCCATGTGGCGGCTGGGGTAGCTGACGTCATATCTAGTGTATGTAGTGGTACCCAACTGCCTTGTGCGGCGGAGCATTGCCCAGTCAGTGACGACTGACTGATTGTTCCAATGAAGTTCACACGCACAGCGTTCCAACTTCCACGCCCCTCCCCATTCATCGTTTTCCTCCTCTCCCTTCTCCTCCCCCCTCCCCCCTCCCCCCCCCGGGCGTCCCTCTGCAGTGACTTACAAGGCCCCAGCCAATCAGTGGAGACTCTGCTGATGCGATTCACATGCTAAGTGCCCCACTCCCCATGTATCCCTCTCACCCCCCTATGTGCCCCTGGCCCCGCTTCCCCTCTTGCTTTCCTGCACACCTCTCAGTGACTTACAAGGCCCCGGCCAATCAGTGGAGACTTTGCTGATGCGATTCACACGCAAAGTACAGGAAGGGGCCGATAAACCTGTGCTGTACTGCGCGAGATAATTACGGTAGTACACAATAAATGATACCGGTACCGGTACTTGCAATGCAAAGCTGGATCACCTACAACCCCCCCCACAATACATCCAGTGCCACATTGTGCTGCATCAAGTAGTTATGCACTGTAGGTGCTAGGCTGACAGGTGTGGCTCTCAGAGTTAGAATTGTTGACTAGAATGGCAGCATACAGGGGTATACAGCTAATGGGTTGTACTCTCTATGGCATGACCCTAGTCTACTAAACATACACACATATGTTTGACACATCCACTAGACTAGATAGGGGCAGTGCCTGGTGAGAGACAAGCAGCTCAGGGTGGCACTACAAGTCCAACCTCTGAGGCAGGGGTCTAAAGACCTGTCAAAAGATTACAAACAAGGCAAGATCAAGACCAGGGCGGCACTACTAGTCCAGCCACTGGGAGAAAGCCACAAGGCTAGTCAGGATAATATATTAAGAGTTATACAAAATCAAGGTCCTAGCAAATGAGGTGCTGCAGGCACGAGACCGAGCTGTACGCAGTGCCGCTGATGATCTTTAGGCGCAAGCGCCTTGACACAGGGCTCGAGTCTGGGCTCCTGACACAGGAGGATCATGGCCCTGTTGTCAGCGTACAGGACCGGGGCAGAGCTAGGCCGCTCACCTAAGTCCGTGAGCAAGAAAGTCAGGCAGCGGAGCTCCTGTGCCACCATCGCATCAGCGTAGATCTCAGCCTCACAGCTAGACAGGGCAACAGACGACGAGCGGGTGGACCTCCACGAGACAGCACCTGCACCAAGGCTAAAGCAGTAGCCCAAGGAGGACCCGAGAATCTCGGCGTCGTCCACCCAAGCAGCGTCTGTGTGCCCAGTAAGGACCACTGGCCTACGTCCTCCTAGCACTAGCCCCATGCCCGATGTACTCGCTAGATAACGCAGAACCCTCTTAGCTACAGACCACTGCTGTGGTCGGTGTCTGCCGGAGGACACAAAGCGGGCCAGGATGCTGAGAGGTTATGCGAGATCTGGACGAGTGCAAGTCATCAGGTACATGGGGCAACCCACCAGCTCTGCATAAGGACCACTAGGCTCTACAGCCTCCTCTGGGACTGGAGCAGAGAGTCTGTGGTCTACTAACAGAGGGGTGGGCTGTGCGGAAGAGAACTGAAGGCTGAACCTCTGAAGGACCTGTCGCACCAAGTGTGAGTCTAAGAGATTGACGGTGCGCGCGGCTTTGTCCTTGGAGATCTGCAAGCCAAGATAGCGGCGCAGCTCTCCTAGGTCAGTGGAGGTGTGTCTCCTCAGCAGCTCGGCCTGCACGGAGGCCAGCGCATCTTTGTCTGCAGTAGTAAAGACCAGATCGTCTACATAAACAAAAATGTAGAATAGAGTCTGGCCGGAACGGACGAAGAGCGAGGGGTCTGCAGACGACGGGAAGAACTGCAGGTTAGCAAGTGTAGCACGCAACGTATCGTGCCACTTACGGGGCGCCTGGCACAGGCCGTAGATGGGGCACCGGATGAGCCACTCAGTACGAGGGGGAAAGGTACTGGAGAAGCCTTGGGGGCGACACAGGTAGACCTGCTCGTGTAGACTGCCCTGGAGGAAAGCTGTGGAGAAGTCGAGGGAGTGGAGCTCGTATTCACGCTGTGCTGCTACGTGTAGCAGTGCCCGAAGAGTAGTCATCTTCGGGGTCGGGGCGAAGGTCTGAAAGAAGTCAACCCCCTCATGCTGACTTAAGCCATGAGCAATGTAGCTCGCCTTGAAGACAGACAGCTCTCCAGGAGGGCGCTTCACCTTGAAGAGCCATCGGCCATCGACTACGTTCACCCCAGGAGGGGAATTGTGTCGACGAAGGTACCGGTGGATCTCCAAGATGCCATCTCCTGTGGCAGCTATCCACTGAGAGGCCCAGGGTCCCGAGGTGGCCTCAGCGTAGGTGTGAGGGGTCGGGATGTCAAGGGCGTCTGGGTCACCCTCATGGACTAGTCAGCATGGAACAGAGATGGGGAGTGAAGGCGGTGGGTAGCGGCGAAGTCAGTGACAGCAGCAACAAGGGTCGACAGACTCGTGACAGGAACGGACGTGTCGGTAACAAGAGAGGCATGGAAACGAGGAACAAGGGGACACGTGGCACGGAGGAAGTCAGAGAACGGAGGCGGGACCACAGCGAGCAACGACGGAGGAGGAGACGGGAGGAGCGGAGGAGCACGAGACGCGTGGGAGTGAAGCAACATAGGGTGAGAATGCGGAACAGGGGAGGTAGGACGAACACGAGAAGGACGACGAGCCCAAACGTGAGACGGAGGAGTCGGGTCAGGAGAGAGGGGAGGAGACACAGGAGGAGAACGAGGAGGGAAACGAGCCAGAGAAGAGTCCGTAGGAGGAAACACAGGGCCGTAGACCAGTAGAGGAGGAGGCGGTGGCGACGGAGGAGGCACCGGCGGGCGGTCAAGGGAAGGAAGGCCGAGTAGGCGTAGAGTAGATACCGACGGCGACTGCTGCCCGACGCCAACACCAGAACCTCCAGCGGCACCATGGCTCCCTCCGAGAAGCTCCACGCCAGCACCCCCAGAACGGGAACCCGCTCTAGTACCTGCTCCGGCATGCTCCCCAACACCCCCAGAACGCACGAACCCCAGCGGAGGTGACGACGGCAGCTGAGGCTGAGGCGGCGACGGCACTTGCGGAGGCGGCTGTGGCTGCGACAGCAACGTCGGCGACAAGGGAGGAGAGACCGGGGTGGGGACAGGCGTTGGAAGGGACTATGCAGAGCCGCGAGAGTCAGCAGACTCCTCGGCAAGGACAACCGACGGGAGGGGGGTGACGTGAGACACAACAGACAGGGCACGTCGGGGAGTGGGGGGAGCAGGGGCGACCGGGGGAGGGGGAACCAGGAACAGGGGGGGGGGAAACCGGGGGAATAGGGTGGGGAAAGCGGTGGTAGAAGGAGACGGACTCGTCAAAGGTGACGTTGCACGAGTGAAAGAAACGGTGAGACGGCGGGTGGTAGAAGTGCAAGTTAGACGAGTCGAGGGGGAAACCTAGAAAGACACAGGGGACAGTGCGGGTAGTGAGCTTGTCCGTGCTAGAGGCACGAACGTGAGCAAGGCAGCCCCAGACTTGGAACGCAGATGCGTCACCAGGAGACCCGGTCCAGAGTAGGGTCGGCGAAACCTGCGGCCGCTGAGGGTGCGGCCACAGGTTAAGCTAGTGGGCGGCGTAGCGAACAGCGAACGGCCACAAAAAATGAGGTGCACTGGCATGGATCATGGAGGTACGAGCCACCTCCATGACCAAATCGATGCGTCGCTCAGCGACCCTATTCTGCTGCGGGGAGTCCGGCAGGGTGTATGACTGGGTGATGCTCTCCGCATGACAGAATCGACCAAGGCAGCCACAGGCACTCGCCACCACGGTCGGAGTGAAGACGCAACACAGGGAGACCTCGGTGAACATGCGCAGGGACAAGTCATGGGATAAGAACGTCAGGCACGTCGACAAGCACTAGGAAAACACCGTGGTGTAGCGCGTGTAGTCGTCGACAAGCACTAGGAAGTAGCGCTCACGACGCGGCCCATGGACGGGGGCGGGCCCCATACGTCCATGTGCAGGGTCTGCAGCGGTAGGGCGGTGGGGGGGAACGAGGAGGGAGGGGCACGGCGGAGCCCACCCTCGACACAGGGGGTGCACGGCAGCGCTGCCGAGGAGGGGAGCGACGGGAACGACGCAGGGAGACCTAAGACAAGACCGTGCTGAGACATGTGACAGAGATGTGTGAGGGCGGGGTTAACAAGGTGGTGGTGCCACAGAAGTGACGGGTGAGTAAGCGACCGACACGAGCAAGCCGCAGCAACTTGGGTAGACGCTGCCTCCTCGGGGGGCGTCCCAACCGGGGGGGACGTGGTGTCCAGCGTGAACAGGCCAGACACCGGGTCCTAGGGGAACGTGGTGAGGAGGACACCAGTGGCGGCCTCGGTACAAACAGCGTACCTCTTGTGACTAGGGAACGTAGTGGTGACGTCGAGGTCCTGAAGGCAGCCGACACCAACTAGGTTCCTAGAGAACGAGGGGATGTGTAGGCCTGTAAGAGAGCCCGAAGGAACCGCCGAACAGCCGAGGGTGGTGGAACTACGGGCGACTACCGGACCTGAGGAAGGGTCTGCAAGGGCAACTGCGGTAGAGACGGCAAGCGGCGTCAACGTAGTGTGGTCCCGAAAGAAACACCGAGACGCGCCAGTGTCGAGACTGAAGGAGAGCGCGGCAGTGGCGGCTGAGGGCGGAGGAGCTAGAGTGGAGCCAAGGCTAAACAAAGCAAGCGGTCCTACGCCTGACGCAGCAGGGGAGCCTAAACTAGGCACACTGGGCACACCTAGACTAGGCAACACGAGGCAATAGGAACCAGTCACACTAGAGTCATCGATATACAGCGCATACAATACAGAGCTAATCTCATCCATGTCCATATCAAAGATCCTAACACCACGGCAGAGCAGACTGTGTCAGTTTGGGAGGTCCTGTGCGGGGCCGAAGCGGAGACGAAACAGGTCATTCAGGCGACTGAAACAGCGAGTGGGGGTATGACTGATCTTACCGCACACCAGGCCGCGGCGACAACATATCTGTAGCTCGTACTGGTAGCGCTCGTCACTCGCACCACCACCCGATGATGAGCTATGTGCACGACCACCACGACCACCACCACCGCCGGCGCCAGGCCACCCAGGCGGGAGGCGGCCGACCCTCCGTTGCGACTACTACTGGTGGTGGTGGTGCTGCTGCTGCTGTTGCGGCTGCTGCTGCTGCTAGTGATCAAGCTTTGGCGCCTGCTGCTGCTCCCGCTAGGGCTGCTGCTCCAAGGCACGAGCCCCAGCCCCCTCGTCGGTACGACCACCAGCGGAAGAACCACCTCCACCACCACCTCCACCCCCTCCTCCACTACCACCGCCACGCCCAGCCATGGGGCGGCGGGCCTTATCATAACGGAACAAATGTCCAGAATAGTACATTAGATCTAACTCATATCCCAAAAGATATACAAAGGGTACATTCGGACAAATAGTTCCAAGCAGGGAGAGCAAACTTCAAAAATGTGTTTCTAGTTCCTAGCCCACCGAACTTTGGCCTTGATCACTGCCCGCACCCTCCTATGCGAGCTGTCGATGAGGCTAGAGCAAACCTTGGCATGGATCTTCTCCCATTCTTCCTGGACCAACACTTAAAGCTCTAGCATTCCAGAGGAAGGCCTTTTTTGCTTGGCTAGCTCCCTTTTCAGGTA